CCCGCGCTAGCCTAAGGGCCACCTTAGCAAAGCGCATCCCAGGCTGCATAGCCGCACTACCCTACCCAACCATACCACACATAAACATGACACTACCCCCGGGGTTTACACAGACGAGCCGGCGAAGCAAGAAGAGCGCCAGAAGAAAGGGCCCTAGCCGGCGGGGCCCAGCCAGGACAAAAGGAGGTCCCACAAAGCGCCTACACCGGCCGCATTTGCGGTCGGGGTAGACGACGGATGGGGTTCACCTACGAAGGCTGTCCAGGCCTACACGAAATGAGGCAGGATAAAGAGGGATAATCCCCCTCGATCCCAAATCATTGAGGCCAATTTCTAGCCATGGAATATTGGCGCGCGCGTGCGGCCAGTTAAAACATAACCAACATAACCTGAAAAACGCACAAATGAGTCAAACGACTTATTATTGTTAAAAGTTTTAAACAGCTACGATCGTTGGTATAGATAAAATATCGTCCGTTTTAAATATGAATAACGAAATAGGATTGAAACTGTCGAATACTAAAACAAGGTACAGTTTCTTCAGCAAAGCCCAACACTTTCTCTAAAATAGGTGAATATTCCTCTTCATCGTCTTCAAAGAACATTTCAACTCCAATTTGAATAATGTGCAACTTTATTAAATCCATTACAGTACTACATATAAAAAGCAATAATAATTACAATTTTTAGGTTGTTTTTTTGTTTTTACCCGCTACCGTTCGATTAGGTTCAAGAGACCCAAACACTCTAATTACTACATACTTCATCTTGCTCTGTGCCCGCTCTGCTCGCTCTGCTTCTATAGAACTCGAACGCACCCAATGTGAAACGGAAACATTTGCCAAAAATATTTAAACTGTCAATTGTCAAAATTATTTATATTCAATTTTGATAAAAGCTGGATTTGTATATCTATGGGATAATAAATTATTTGATTTGATGATTCACTTAATGCTTAATCGCTTAATTATCATTTAACCATAAAATTATGGTTGCATTTTGCCCTTTTTGTTCAAATATATTATTCGTCGAAGAAAGTAGTGAAGGCCAACTTCAGTTCACGTGCAATGTTTGTCCAGTATTTTTTCCCGTAAAAAGACTAATATCATATAGGAATTATTACAAATTGAAGGTTAGTATTACATTAAATAAACTAATGAATCTCAAGTGAGTAATCTTTATCTTTTTAGGAAATTGACGACGTGTTAGGTGGAGAAGAAGCTTGGAAAAACGTAGATTCAACTGAAGAACGATGCCCAAAATGTGGTCATGAAAGAGCTTATTTTATGCAGTTACAAACAAGATCAGCTGATGAGCCTATGACAACATTTTACCGTTGCTGTAACTCCGAGTGCAACCATAACTGGCGTGATTAAATTGTTTAAATGGTCTTGTTCAGAAATATAGTGTTTTTAGCTTCTAAAATTAATTTATCTAACTTAGCGAATGCAGTTCCTTCTATGGCTACACACATTCCCATCTTAAATTCAGCAGCAGAAGAAATAGCCATAGAATATTTGAAATCTGGTTCTGTTATAGCTGTACCTACGGACACTGTTTACGGATTAGCATGTGATGCAACTAATACATCAGCGATAAATAATTTGTACGCTATTAAATGTAGAAATGAAAATAAACCCTTGGCTATTTGCCTTGGTGAAACAAATGACGTTAAAATTTGGGCGAAAGTGCAACAACTTCCACCTAATCTTCTTGAAGCTTTGCTCCCTGGTCCTGTGACATTAATTTTACATTGTGCAAATAACAATTTGGATAAATCATTGAGTTTCAGGGAAAAAGTGGGTATTAGAATACCAGATTATCCTTTTATAAGACATTTAGCTTGTGGGTTAGGGAAACCTCTAGCTCTTACTAGTGCTAATTTGAGTAACGAACCTAGTGCTGTTGAAGTTGCAGAGTTTAGTTCAATTTGGGGTAAAATTCCTGCTATATTTGATGGCGGAAAATTAGGAACAGATCACAGTGCTTCTACTGTTGTTGATTTGTCAGAACCAGGATTATATATTATTGTACGTGAAGGAGCAGCACATGAAGAAACGACAAACATTTTAAAAAAGTTTGGCCTAAAAAACAAATATTAACCATCATAATGAATAAGTTGTTAAAAAGTGTACGTTCAGTTACTAACAAAAAAGACGATTTAATAAAACAGTCTATAACCTCTCAGTTATCTAACAATGTTAAAGAAATACAATATGCAGGTGTTGAAGAAAACAAAACTAATAAAACAATTAATGTTTATGAAGCAGCCAATGCATTGTGTACTACAATTGAAGCTATGTTACTTCATGGACTTAAAGATTCTTTAACGCATCGTTTTAAACGAGCCATTGCAGATGTTGAAGAAAGACCTGAACCAAGTTTTTGGCCCCCGTTACTAGTCATTTCCCATCGACAAATTGTCGATCAAGTAAGTACAGTATAATTTTTTAGTAATTTTTATCAAAATTAAGTTGAGGTTATGTATACTATAAAGTAACGTAAGTAACTATAACGTAAGTAAGTATCATTGTTCTGTGTTTTGTTTAACTTAAGATCTTTAAACACAAATGTTAATAGGCCTGATGCGTATCTTAAAAACTGCAAAAAATGGTTACAAGCAGTGATGTTGATAAAACTAAAAGTGACTGTAAAGACTGGCAAGAAAGAGTTTAACATGTTGACTGCGAGATAATCTCAATGTACTTTGTCCGTGACTGCGATACATATCTTCAGGGATATGCAACAAAACTTCTTCTGTGTGCGGTACATATCCCTGGGGATATGTAATTTTTTTTACATTTGACCCTATGGAATTAAAAATAACACAATTATTGCTATAAACTTGCATGTATCTGTAACTATATATCCTGGGATATTAACGTTTTCATTCGCAAAGAGTTTTGAAAATAAAATAATAGAAAAATCATTATTTCTAAAAACTACAGATTCTGCAACTTCCACAAGATACAGTAAAAATGTGATTATTGAGATTCACATATTTTTTATAATGAGTACATACCCCCGAGGTATATACCGCAGTCAACGTGTTAAGTAGTAACACCACTGTAAAATGCTAAAATAAAACATTTCTTTCCAATTTTTTTTTAATGGAAGGGAAAGTAAGAGGATAATAATATTCATGGATATTATTAACCATGTCTTTAAGTGTAAAAAATATATATAAATAGTACAAAATGGCGAAGCTGGAACCATTCTAGTGAGACATGATGAATTTGAGACGTTCTGCGGCATGCTGTGTAACTGCTGCAAATTTGAATATGGGAAAAAACAAATAATTTTCTTTTAATCTATGTGAGCATGGTAGGGGATTTTGAAAACAATTTTTGTATGACTAAGGAGCATTTGAATTTGTCAATAAATAATGTTAAACTCAACTTAACGAAAATCCTATACGTACTTCTCTTCAGAATGTTATTTTAAAGTTCGTCAAAATTTGGTGTCAATACAATGAAAATTGTTGGAATTATACTGCGTGCCGTTTCAAAAAATCCTGTTTCATGAAAAAGGCCTTTAAAGTTTTGTGATATACGCTATACTAACATATTTCATTTGAAAATGCTTCTAATTGAACAAAAACTCTTTCTAACGACATATGTTAGTAGTATTCGTGAAGTTGGGAATCAAAAGGTAAGTCATTTGATACCTATAGAACTTCTTTGCCTTTATTCTAGAAGGTTCAAAACATTTTTTAAATCAATAAAAAAATAGATTTTCTGAACATTATATAGTGGCGTTACCCCTTAAATTTAGGTTTCCATTCTAGGTGAATTAGTTTAAAATATTTTAAGTTATGACGAATTGTAATGAGTACTAAAATATCACAAAAATTATTCTAAAACAAATTGTTTATATATACTGCAATAAATCATTTTTAAGAAGTGTATTATACTATAAAAATGCATAGAAACCGAATTCTAATGGGTATTCCACCTTTCAGTTTTCCACCCGCCTTGAGGTGACAAATGAAATACAATGAAAAATAGTTAAGCTTTTAGTTCTTCCCGGGAAAAGGATACAAATTTTATTTCGCCAATCAATAATCACTTTTTAAGCAAAAAAAATGTTGCACATACACAATCTCTTGAATTGTAAATAATGAATGAATAACAGGAAACTGACTAAAAATTTGCGGTGCCACTAACGATACGCAACAGGCTATATTTGCTAAAGGAAGAAGAAAAAATAAGAATAAATTTTTTTCAGATAACAAATCTTTCTCAAATAACAACTGAAGTGGGTCAATGTAGGGCTTGGATTAGGTTAGCATTAAATGATTGCCTTCTGTCTTCTTACTTAATGACAATGCGTCAAGATTCGTCTGCTTTAAAATCCTTTTATCGAATTGATGCCTATGTACGCGATGGAGAACTGTTAGAGGTCGCTCAGCGACTTATCGAAGGAGTAGAAGCATTCAAAACATTCACATTACCATGCAATTCAAGTCTTTTAAATACTTGGCCATTACCAAGTTTGTTCTTAGCAGGAATATGGGCGTCTACATTGAAGGCTTGTCCGGTGGCACCTTGTGACGATGTAGCTCAATCTATTGATGATTCGTCTGTACCTCCATCTATTCCCGAGACTAGTTCAGAAACAGCATCATTAAGTTCAGCCATGTCTTTTACTTCTCAAAGTTCAGGTCTGAGGCAAATTGTTGCATTAACAGAAGATGAAGTCTTAAAGATAATTTTAGCGAAAGACAAAGAACTGGGACGAAATAACAATTCACAGTCAATGGATGAGTTGAAAACATCGAGTAGCTCAGAACAGGAAAAAAGTAGTGAAGTAGAAGGTGTTAGCTATAATGTAGGAAATTCTCTGAATCGTGCAACAGGTTGGTCGTTTGATGAAAACCAGGAAGAGCTTAGTGATAGTAATGAAGACATTTCGAATGAGAAAAATGGAAATCAACCAAAGTCTATGGATACCAGTTATAATGCTTTGATCGAAAGTTATAACATGCTTAGCGTTATCAAAACTCCCGATTTTAGAGAAGTGTGGCAAAAATATGAAGAAGAACGTAAAGGTGATACTAGTCCTGAGGATAAATCAATTGTAAGTAAGAATGTAAGTAATTAAATAAGTGAAAATATTTTAAAATGCTATTTGTAGGATGAAGTAACGGAAAACAGAGGAATTATTTCTAATGTACTTTTGACAAGAACTGAATCAACTTCTTTGGCAGCACAAATTGGTCAAATTGCTAGGGAAAAGGGGTTGGATATACAAAATTACGAGTGTGTAGATTGCAAGCAACATTTAGGTATTACACAAAAGCCAAAGTAAGTACATATATTTATTTTTCTTCAAAACTATAATAACATTTGAAATTAAGTCTGTTCTTAAGAAGTTTATGGTAACATGCTCAAAATTATTATTCTGTTTGATACAATTTAATGATTGATAATACTATTTTTACTGCACAATTGTGTTTTGTTTTGGTGTGGCACGATGCATGCTGAAAATCTAACTCGATACACAAAAATGTTTTAGCATTTGTGCTTTCACCGGAGACTACTTTTGCGACTTATGTATGAGTACCGAACATGTGTCAATCCCTGCAAGAATTATTCATAACTGGGATTTCAAAACATATCCGATTTCACAAAAAGGACTGAATTATTTGGATGAAATAAAGGATCACCCTACAATAGATTTTAAAGTAAGCCTGCATTGATTTTGTCTGAAAAGTCTGTAAATATTGAATATTTTTAGGTACTTAATCCATATGTATACAGTGTGGTTGAAGAAATGGCACAATTACAAATACTTCGCAATCAGTTAAATTTCTTGCGTGCATACTTATACACATGTCGTGAACCGGTTATTGAGCAATTACAGAGGAAAATGTGGCCTAGAGAATATATGTACGAACATATCCATCAATATTCAGTATCGGTCAGTATAGATATAGATTTGTTCTCTCTGAAATTACAAATTTTTTTGTATTGCTTTATAGGATTTGTCAGAAATAACAAATGGATCTTTAGCGAAGCAGTTAGAAGAAGTTGTACAGTTCGGAAAAGATCACGTATCTAGTTGTTGGTTGTGCAGTCAAAAAGGCTTTGTATGTGAAGTTTGCAACAAACCTAAGGCACTGTTTCCATTTGATGTGGATAACGTGTACCGTTGTGACGTTTGCAATGCTGTATATCACAAAAATTGCCTTAACTCTTCAAAACCATGCCCTAAATGTGAAAGAAAGAAGAAGAGGGAGGAGCTACCCCTTCTTGGTGCTATTGGCATTGAATAATGGTTCCATCATGTAAATAATTTTTTTATTACAATTTCTTTTTAGCTTATTCCATATGTTAATTTGTTATTGGTAATTATGGCTGTTGTGCTTTCTGAAATAGATTTTTTATTCATCATGCTGATGAACATGTTTTTTATCCCGCTCAATTATTTATTACTTTTATTATTATTATGCTCTACTATAACAGTCTCTTTGTTGATGGCACAGTTTATTATTAGGTCTGTTGATATCAACAACGAAGCAGCACTCTAAATGTATAACAAACCATTTTAAACCTGTGGACAAAGTTGTTGCCCTATACAGGGTGACTCAAATTAAATGAGAACAAAAAAAACATTGCAAATTTTATGATATTTATCAAAATGACATATTTCGATGGAACATTCTATACCGTGTGTAACTTTAAGTGGGGGTCAGTTTTTTAGGGGTAATGGTAAGTTTCCCAGAATACTATCGTGAAATATTCTAAAATCAAATAGTCGAGATATTAATTTTTTAAATTACACTCAAATTGTTGTCTATACTGGCGGTAGGCAGCTTCCAAACTCATTTGCTGTCACTGTTGCCTGTTATCTTTTTAAACCAACTGTGTGAAACTGAGTGGCGTAACATTAAAGAAATTTTTTGAACATTTAAAAAATCAATGATAAATAATTTTTGCATGATTTATTAAATATTTACTAATATGTGAATAGGCATACATTACTAATTGTATGTAGCATTGATATATACTTTAAAACAATTGCTTTTGCTGTTTTGTAAGATGTACATAATAAAAAGTAAATGGAAATACTTAATAATCTCGCAGTTTTAAAAAACTTTGTAAAAATAAATTACTATTTCTTTTAAACACGTCAAGTTTGTGAATATTAGTTTTACTGACCTCTGACATTGACCAGGCATAGGTGAAGTTCATAATATCAATCCATCTAATGTGATATGACAGCAGAAAACAATAACTTCATTTTATTACATTTATTTAATTTTCAGTTTATCAGTTTATTGTAGGTAATTGTATGACTTTTTACATTTAATTTTTACTGGAGTCGAAATAGTTTAATTTCATAACAAAGCTTAAGGTATTAGTGAAGTGTCTTGTATAGTGACAGTGTATAACCATGTGAAGTTATTTATTTCAGTGTTTAGTGATGATATGGTATATTTATGTTTTCATTTTAAATTTCTGTGATCTTATAAAAAAAACATCTATGAGAATCAAGAAAGGCGATACTTTGCAACCATGCATGCTGTTGCTCCCAACAGACTCTTTTAGTGTGACATCACATATTTAGGCAACACACAACAAATTGTAAGATTTAAATAAAATAAAAATTTAATATTAGCCGTGTTATTACTAATGCTCATGCTTGAAAAGAATAGCCTCAGACGCAGGTGAGCTCTTGTTGATATGTTATCGTTGTCATCATTTTCTCTTGTTTTGTTTAATCTTGGCATTTTCTAGTTCTACTAAGTATTGTAATTGTTTTTTTTTTGGTGTTATACTGTATCAGTGTGTTTATCGAGTATTTTTTTCTTCAAGTGGTTTATTATGGACGTACTCTTAACCATAACCAAACTTTCCTTGAATGATATCCTGTTGCGAGGCTACTTCGCTTACATGAAATTATCTTTAATGCACATTTTTTTGGCAAGCATATAAGGTCAAAAATCGATCTAGTAAAAATATTGAGAAATTCTGCATGACAATGTGCACTATGGGGTTGCCTATTATTTGGCGCATGTGGCGTCACTACTTAAAAGGTCTATTGGGTATGCGTATGGAAATTACAAAAAAATTATAAAAGAAAATTCAGATTTTGTGATGCAATTTGAGAAAACTTGTTTCTAAAGATCAAAGATAACCTCTATATAAATATGACTCCCATTCGTAGACACACCCTATATATTGTCACATTTATAATTTTTTAGGATTGTAATGATTTTTAATTTTTTGTGTAACAGAATACAATACCAATCACTACTTTTGAAACAGCCTGTATAGGACAATAATTTTGTTGGGATTAGAATACAGGCATGTAATATAGATATTTCTCACTTATTTTTCCACATTATTAAACAAATCCTGCTCAATTTGTTTGGTTTTTGATCTATGATCCTATTGGGTTTTATATCTTGGTCTCATTTGCATTCTGTTAGTTTGTTTTTCCATGACTGCCTATACTCTATAATCCCAATGAAAATGAGCACCACATACAATAATTAAGAAATACAGTAAAGTGAAAAGTGTTTTGTGTTCTTAGTACAATTCAATTATTTGATAAAAATTCCCACTTTATTTCTAAAACACTTTATTTAGTCAGTTAATTAAATACAAATATACATATATAAGGTACAAAAGTCAAAAAAAAAACAATACATATTTATGACTAAAATTAAAATGGAATGTTATAAAGTGAAGTCAGAATTTCGATATCTTAATTCTTCTATCAAAATGGGCAGTTACAGTCAACAATTTGGACCCTATGAACAAGGTTATGTCAATAAAAGTGTTAAAATAGAAAACAGATGTGGTTAAAAACAAATAAATGCATATAAATGTAACCTCAGGAACACTTTCAAATTTTGTTTCCAATGATCTTACTTATTAAACTAGCTACCGTGTCATCACTGGTACTTTTTTGACACAATATGAAACGCATAGTATGAATATAGATGTTTATAAGATGGACAAATCTACGTATAGATTCACACGATTCAGGGATGTTGCTACTTTATAACAAATTAACAAAACACACTTATAATAAATAATAAAGTTAACAATCAGTATTTCTATCTATTTAGTTGTATCGGTTAAGGCACGATGACTACTCCTAATCGGTAAAGGGGATGACGGAGTTTTCGGACTTCCAGATTTCGTCTTTTTCAATTTGTTCCCTGGAACTTTTTGATGGTTACGTTTGTGAGCATAGAGAAGTACTCCGATATGTCTGTGTCCTGCCTCCATTGCAATCTTTAATGCTGTACTTCCATCCTGCAAGACACGGTAAGTGAATTTTACTTTAATAATTATATAGTTATGGTTTTCTTATATTGATAATCGAATACAACAGAAAAATGTTTGAAAAAGTTGGAATTTGAAAATTTCTTATTACAATCGCTTACATAATTCCTAGTTACATAAATAAAAAGTATTTAACGTACCACATCAGTTAAGTTTGAGTCACAGTCCGGATGGGTAAGGAAGTGTTTGACTATTTCGATGTGACCATGTTCTGCAGCACACATGAGAGCAGTACTGCCATCTTCATCCTGAATATTTATGTCTGCACCTGCTTCTAGCAGCATCTTGACCATGTCTAGTCGGCCATGGCTCACTGCTAACATCAAGGCCGTCTGTCCATGCTGAAAAATAAGCAAAACAAATTAAAATACAACACTTATGTGAAATTACAATATTTTAATTGATTTAAATTTTCTTACCTGTTTGGCACGTACGTTAACATCGGCCAATTGGAAAAGTCTTCTAACAACGTTTGCGTGTGTTTGTGACCTTACTTCAGCTAGAGATACTAACATGACACTTGTATATCCAGCTTTGTTCGGTTTATTGATATCACAAACTTTTGAATCCAATAAAATAGACACAACATCAAAGTTACCATGTGATACAGCATAGTGCATAGCAGTGTTACCGCTTGAATCACTCATATTTACAATGTACTCTATGAGTAGGCTTGACATGTCTTCAAAAGCATCCAGATAATCTTCTACATCTAATGGATTTGCTGTTATCAGACTTGATACTTTAAACCATTCTTGTTGGACAATGTTGATAGCACTGTGGTTTTTGAGATTCTTTAAAGGACTTTTTTGCAATGAGTCATTGAGAACTTTCAGGGCACCCTGCATTTCTTTACTTGGCACCGCCCTAAAATCAAATTTGAATTAAAAAATTTTATTTGCTTCTTTTCATGTACGTACTTTTTCCTGTTCTGACTTTGTTGCGCAACCGAGGAGAATAAAGTAGATTCAGATGTGGGCAGTGTAGATTCCTGGATATGGACTTTGGATATGGAGGTTGTGTTAGCACCATTCTGAGAAAGTGATGGTGAACTTGATATTTCGCCTAATTTGAAATTTTGCTTCACTTTTTCTAGTGGGCTGGTCTCCCCGCTTAAGGCTTTAGGGGATAAATCTAATCCTGACAATCTAAAAATAGTTTAATGTTATTAATAACACAGTCATATAAAATATATAAAAATATTTAAATTATATGTTGGAATTTAAAAAATAATAAAGTATAGAATGAAGAGGTATTAATAATGTATTACCTTGTTAAAAGAATATGCTGATGCATATATGAGCAATGAGCATTTTGTGTATTTTTTTCCATAGAGGAAAGCACGAAAGCCAAATTAATTCATAGTAAAATAATAGCCAGTAAATAAATGCGTTAACCTATGGCAACGCGCAGATTGTTTGGATACTTTCGACGACAGGACCGACCTTATCCATTTTCAAGAACAATTAGATTGAAGTCATGTTTTGATTTACATTACTTTATGTATGTTAGAAAGTTTTTCACATAATACGTAAATATTTTAATTTTTTTAAAACACTGAATTTATAGTTACACTTAATAAATTTCAATACAAACTTTACAAAAAAGAAACTACATTCGTGAAAAGTTGTAGAAGATTTATACCGTTTATTTAAAATATATAAAGCAATATTTGTGCAAATAAAGTAGAATCGCCTAATGTTTCGATTTGAACTAAATAATTTAAAACCATAAAAAAATCAAGTCAGGTCCTGCGCGAGAAAAATCAATACTTTGTACTACCGACGGAGCATGCGCCAACTCGTTAATTGATTTACGTCAGGTAATTTGCTTAAAGCGGTTCTTTATTATATTAAAGGAGTATGATTTCTTAAATCCGCAAAAAGAAGCCTTACATTATCATCTTTCATAATGCGATTAGATACACAGAAGTTTGGTTAATCCAGAGTTTTGGATTTTATTTAAAATTATGCAATTCTGATTCTGATGGCTTGTTATACAGCGTATTATTACATATATTAATTTAAATTTGATCTAGTTATATTCGAAATTTACATATTTCTTTATGTAACAACGAAACGGATATCAACATGGGCGTTCGCAGAAAATTAGCAGGGGAGGCACGAGTAAATAAAGGTCATAAGAATTATTAAAAATTACTCAATTTTTTTGATTTGGTACCAAAAAAATTTCCCAGGCGCAAGCCATTTTCTGACTTAATGACATATTTGTATTAGGTGCAAAATATTTAGTTCTTTTTATAAATTTAAGAGATATATTTTAATATTGTTTTACTTTAATTGAAATATAAATTTCATCTTTCCATTGGCGCCGAAATCGTGAGGCTCCGCTTTGCAAGTAGTACATGTGTGGTTATTAATAGAAAAGTATGAAAACGGTGTATATATGGGTGGGAAAGAGTCTGTATGGAGGGCTCAATTGTTGGTGCACCCACGAAGTCGGCGCCACTGTATCATATTTCATAAATATTAAAAATATATATTTACCCTGTAGTTGGTGAAATAGATATTTTCTCTGTAGAGGACGAATAAATCTTCGTGTAAGTATCTTGCCTCCTAAACTTTCTGTTTTCTACAGGTGTCGTCGGTATTTGCGGTCTAGGAATCCTAGATGGCGTCGGACTACCCCCCTCTTTTTTTACAGAGTCCTTAACCTCATCTTTTTCCTTTTCACATTTCACGCAGACCATCGCCAACTCCGATATGGTGTTGCAACCTACATCACTAAAACTAGGTTTAATTTCCCTTGCCTCGCAAGACACGTGACGTTTTGCCATAATCAGATCTAGCGTGTCGGTGATCTTGGAAACTGATCGGTTTTCATACTGTGTGTTTTTCTCCGACACTTTTAACTCGTGTTGGCAAGCTTTAGTAGACATTTTAACCCTAACATCAGACTGACAGGCTCTGCTAACATTATTTGGTTCATACTGCATACCAATAGTTCGAGTTCTTGTAGTCAGATTCAACCTATCGTCTCCTAAGTTGAAAGACTTGCTTCTAGATGACAAGGAAGCAAGTGATATTGGAGAAGTGTGGGTGTCTTCATTTGTTTCAGGGCCCACTGCCACAGATCTCTTAAATGCGTTGCATTTTTCGCATATAATGTCATCTATTGTGTCATCTCCACAACCTACTGAGTAGCATTCAACGTATTTTTGTGCAGAAAAGTCTGACACCCTTGGCACAGCTAACGTGGATACGTGGTTCATGCTTTTCTTCAATTCTACAGTCTGAGAAGAACAGTTCATTTTTGGTGGCTGTTGCCTCTCTATCTTTAACTGAATTCCTACATCTCTTGTTTCAACACCTCCAAAGGTTTGAGTTATTTTATCAAAAGTCAGTTTCTTACTAGAATAAGTATTCATCAGATTCTGACTATTCAAAAATTTTACTTTTTCTTGTAACCATTTGTCAGCAAACTCGTTTTCTAGTGTAGCAGTTGAGACACTTTTTGTGTTAGGGTTTTGATGACCCACCCCGATATTTCTTGTGAGAACGCCACACATAACCCCAAAGTCTTTCCTTGGGGGTGGGGGAGGAGGTTCTTTCTTTACAAGGCTGTCTAGACTGTCAACGTGTGTGAAAGATTGCGATCTTTGGCGGTTGTACTGGGGTAGAAGGTAATTTGTATTAACTTTGTTTAGTCTTGCGGTTTCTTCGGTTTTTAAACGCGTTACCAAGCGTTTATTTTCTTCTTTTAATGTAGATAACTGTTCCTAGTTGAAAAAACGTCGATCATCAAAAATAGGAAAAATTTATTAAAAGCGGAAGTGATATTTCACATTTATTATTGCTTATTTCTTGAAAATCAAACTACACATATTAATAAAGGCTCGATTTGTGATTTTTGTGAAGCAGCATAAGTGTTATTTTTTTTTCATTTGGAAAATGATTCGCGAATTTTTAATTTATATTGTAGTAACAAATTCTGCATTTTGAAGATATATGAGGTCTTAAATGAACGCACTGTATAATATAAATGATTTTTCTGTTTAAATAGATTAGAGAAAATATTGATCAAATTTACGTATTTTTGTAGGCCAGCTTTGTATGAGTTCTGTGGGTTCTATTTCCGCGAGATATTTTTTATTAACCATTCCTCCACACTTTTTAATATTTTTGCAACTGTTTTACCTCGACCTTTCACCTTTGTAGTATGTGACATGCAATCTAATAATAGGCCTAGTTCCCCCCATATGCACTATATTTACAATTATCTCTTCGAGTCTAGTTATTTTCATACGGGTACCAAGTTTAATTTTATCGTGTAATTGTATGCGTAGCTATGTAAGTACAAACATTTTACACAAATAAAATCATTTATGGTATAAAGGAACGGTTATAAAAATGCTTAATTTTTAATGCAAAATTTACAAATATAAGTAAATGAATTTTTGTATAAAACACTCGCCGACGAATACTAAGTACATAAAAATATATAGTGAGAAGTTAATTTAAATTGCATTTTTAAAATACAATTTACACTTTAGGCAATTTGTGTCATTCGATATGTTTTTTATCTTTAAAATAACCTATCTACTCGCTGCGGGAAATGTTTAATACATTTATAATAGTTTTATAATTAATTTTAAACAGTAGAAAGTTATTTGCACGCTTAAATAACGTCATTATTCATACATTTAACAAATTATTATCATTATCACATTAGTACAATCTTACTATTACGTTTGAACGACGTTTTTTTTTCTACAAACCAAATAAAAGATATGTACATCAAAAATAAACTGCGTGTCTTTGACAGTTTACACTTTTCCTTTGTAGAGTAACAATTTTAGTATTAGCGGAAACAGGAAATGTATTACAGATGCAGGCGACACATCGTTACAGTACAAAAGGTGACAATACCACAATACGTACGATGATGGGATAAGCCATTGGATCACCCAGTTAAATAAATCATTGGAAGAATATTTGATTATTTCTATAGTTACGAAATTCATTTTTGTGTTTTTAGAATATGGAAATACATATTTGTTTATTGTCTCAACACTTTTCCACGCATTTATGTACTTAAATAAAGAGCCAACATTTTTTTGTAAATAAATAAGATATTTTAATTTTGGTTAATAAAACATTGAATACGCAACATCCTGTGTATTTAAAAATATCTTACCTTTAGCTCCGGCAACAGTCTGACTTGTTCTTCTAAAAGTCTAGTCCGTTCCAGACTTAGTGCCATTTGTTCCCTGATATTTTGAAGTGCCGTAGGACTAAGGAAGCAAGACTCGATGCTTGCAGTGTCAAAATCATTTCTGCTAGTCCCATCCTGGGCGGTGGGAAGCACCGTCATACTAGACCCAGACGTGGAAGACATGGACGAAACCGAAGGCACCCTTCGTATGTTGTCTGCACATAGCAAAATATCATGACTGCACACTCGATGTCTAACACAGCAGTAATCATTTAAATCGACGTCGATAACTTTGTCAATAAGTATGATTAAGCGTTTAGTGAGGGCAACGCACATCCACACGAAAAAACAAAACAAGCGCGACAGGGCTACGTTCTCCATTAAATTTTCAACCCGCACCTGTTGCGTTTTTCATCTGTTGAATTACAATAACAATAGCGGTTAGGAAAGTATTAAACAACTCGGCCCGTTTGGCGCAGACGCGACCGTATGCAAGAGTGAACAATGTTTAGCTCTGTTGAGCACCATTTGAATTGAAAGTCTTGGTTCGCCGAGGCACAATGAAGAAGTTTACGTGTATTGGGAATTTACTGTACCTGTCTCTCGCATTATCGATTAGGGTAAACGGGACATTAATAGCTTCCCGGAAGAAGGCACTCAATGTTATCAGCAGGAATATTTAATGTAACTAGTTTCATTATCTTATTTTAACACTGAAAATTTTGACGAGCCAACTATACAGAACGTATAAAATTATATGACATTAAAATAGGAACGTTTTAATTACCTTCTTGAATACCGTGGAAAAAGGAATTTGTAAATACCAATACCAATAAGAGTTTAGATAAGTTTCTGAAATATACCAGGTCAATTTAAGAGTTCGCAGCCTGATAATGAACTTGACCTGAGGAGGTCATTGGCGCCGGATCAACGAGGTTCTGGATGCTCAGCGATTTTACTGTAACGTTGCAGAAAATATTTTATTTATCTTCGGTTATTTTTAATTTTATGATATTTAAGCATTGAGCACCTCTGTTTTGAAAGTTCGGTATAATCCCTCAGGTATCTCTTTAACACTTTTAATTTCCGTCTTTCGTGAACCAAATTCGCAGGATCGAGAGTTTCAATACTACAAAGGGGTGTTGGAAAAAATATACCTTTTTCGTAAAATACAAGAAGGTGTACGTTTATACAGGGTGTTTAAGAAATAAGTGCAAGGGGAGTGATCATACTCGTACAAATAATGGTATTTTGACACTTTCGAAAACGCAATATTAAGAACCTCAAAGTTATATATTTTTAATTAATATTTTGCTATAACAAACTTGATATTGAAGATAATTAAAAAATCTTACAAAACGATTCCAAGTCGACAACATTGTAGTTAAATAGGTACATTTTAACTTTTTCCTCGGATACAGTTCACGTTATGAACTTGCATCAAGAATAACATTTATTAATGGTCTTAAAAAATAGTTTGATTTTTTAAAAATTGTAAATAAAAAAATTGTGACCAATTTTTTATTAATTGTATGCCTTCAGGGCTTTACAGCGTTTATGAGTTTAATTTTTGTAGGTGCAATTTGTTCCCAATAGTGTGTTTCAAATTTAAAAACTAACGTATAACTGAAAAAAAATCGTAGCAAAATATTAATAAAAAAATAACTTTGAGGTTACGTAACTTCATTAATATTGAGTTTTCGAAAATGTTCGGTAGGAAATTATACCATTATTGATAAGACTTGAATCACCCCCTAATTTTTTCCCCAGAAATCTATACATGTTTGAGAATTAATATTTCTAAATTTTATATCTTACTAAAATGAGTATTAAAAGTAGACTCATCAAACATTGTAATCTTGGAAAAACGTTCAATTCAAATTCAACGTCTAGGGGTGTTAAATTTAAAATAAATGTCATTGGCAAAAACAATAACAATATAATCATAAACCTGTTTTTCAATTGTTTTTTTGTTTACTAATAATCATCAGCCGGTTTTTTTTCTCTTCAACGGTGTCGATTAACTGGAAACGCCCTGTATGCAGGTAAACGGTATTTTCCGCTTACTGGATGTCTTTGTCGAGTGTTGTACCTGTATAAACGACTTTATGTGACACATAAGTGTTGCATCTTCTTCAGACAAGTAATAACCCAGGCCAAAAATAGACGTTCGGCGCGTCGGTCGCGATGGTCACTTTAAGCACCAGCTGTAAACGTCGAGAGAAGAAAAATTTAAATTTACTAACCTGAAACGGCGGTAACATCTGGAAGATTGTTCGATAATTTGTTTTTAGATCTTTGCAAAGTGCGCTCGAAGTCGGAAATTGCATCTGCGAAACTGTCCGTTGAAAAGGGAAAATTTGGAGGCGGTTGTTTGGTTTCAAGATTAGGTGAAGACTGTTCTTGAATAGGCTGAAAAAAAAAACCCGTACAGTACGTTAATATGACAGTTCGTTTTTACTTACCTTATAACTTTGTTCTAAAGCCGCTAGGACAGGTGGTGTGAGCCCCAAAAGTACTTCCATAGACTGTCTTTGTCTCCTCCTGTCTTTCCTTCTTTTGATCGACCCTGTACGATTATCGGCTTCATGTCCGATCGACTCGCAGTACTGCACGAAGTCGAGGTCAATGTGGTACCCATAGGGGCAACAGTTGCATTCATACCAGCTATAACCTGAAATAAGGAAAACTAGTTAATATAAGTAATATAAGTTCCGTCGGCCTCTTCAATTCCCAGATCTTAATTTAGAAAATGTAGTGGAGAAATTTAACATAAATTCTGCCCCAGTTCGGTCAGGTTTTTTTTTAAAATGCAAAATTTACTGTACATAATTTTGCCTAAAATCAAATATCTCAGTAGGCAGCCCCCCTGATTTTTTGCGGTCTGTATGCGCCACTGTTTTTTATTTGAAAAATTTTACAGCGCTATAACTATTATATTAGGTGTGTCTCAATTAATAATAATTCCCTCTCAATGAAGTCATTTCTTCCTTGAAACATTAAATATAGAATTCAAAGCTATTATTAAAACATACTTTAGTGTTCAATCTAGAAGCAGTTTTGTCGGTTTCTTAATTTTCATTTTAAATAAAATAATATCAGGTTAAATAATAGAATTACTTGTTTCCTTCGCGTCCATCACATGAGTTTAAAGTTTAATTAGCTAGTTACATTTAATATAAGTACTTACATAATTTACAAATGAATTGTATACACACTATAGAAAATTTAACGCGTACTAGGTACTCCATTTGTAATACATATTTAGAGTTAGTATATTCAAGGCCAGTGTCAATATTTTGTAAAAAGTAAAGGTGTTAATTTGATTCCTTTGGCAATCTGAGAAATCGTAATTCTGCAATGATGCAGAAATACGTTTCATCATCAGAGGTTCTGGTAGAAAAATGTGGACATTCATGCTAATTGTTATGTTAATTAGATTATGTAAATCACTTGTTTACTCGCAGAGCATCAATGTTCTATAAATAATTTTTATGATAATTTTTATCATAAACAAAATAATTTGGTATGATTTTGAGGAATTATAAAGAATTTTAGAAAGATAGTAACAAACATGGGCAACTTTTGGTATGAATATTTTAAAAACAGATTTGAAATAAATCACTTTAATGTAGAAACTACACCCCACAATTTAAGAAATCTCTACTGTGTTTATACGATGTTCTTGACGGCATAGCTAAGAAAATTTTTAGTTCGAGACAATGTCGAGGGCAGTACACACATTCGTACTACTCTTGCCGCATTAATATTTATATCTATTGTCTTTTATGGATAATAATCATTTGACCCTTGCAAAATAAAAAGACTACGCCCATGGCATTGTTAGATATCCCATGTGGGCGATCGTACAATCATTAGAAAGTATGCACAGGCAAAACTGAATTAGAGTTATAGGAATAATAAATAAAAATATATTGCCGCTTCAGTAAACTTTTTCACAACCAAGAAAGGAACATTTATTTATTAATGAATGATATACATATGGTCGGATGTCCAAAATAGTAAGACAGTGAAAGTTGTTTTAACCATAAGGTAGACGCATCTAATGGGTATAACATTTACATAAGGGGGTATGGGGATTTCAACAATTTATTTCTAACTAAGAATTTTTAGTATTTCGTACACAATAAAAAGCGATTAAAAGCTAACTACTAACTTATTTTTTTATGTATTTCAAGGTTAAATAATTTTATATAATTTCGGTTATAATTTATTATGCTTTTTTAAATATTATTAGTTGTTTATTTAAGTACCAGGACCAGTAACTTGCTTCTCGTCTATTCAAGTTTGTAAATCGGCGATATACTACATTCACATTGATTTTTTTATACTACTCATGTCGAGTCATATAAATAAAATTCTACTCACCATTTTCGTTCCTGTTGTTTACAGTCGAGCCATAGCCAGCGTAAGACATATTCTGCCTCTCTTAAGAATTTTAAGCCACTGTAACAAGACACGCATATTTCAGTTCACAAAACTGCATAGTTACATATTTAACAAACTCAAACATGTACATATTGGGGAGAAAACAATGTCGCACTAGGTAATCTTTTCTATGGGTTATCTTGGTAAGGATCAGTTTTATTAAGTGGAGAGGTAGATAAGATAAAAATAAAAGTGTATATGTATATTACATGTTGTAAATATACCTAGTAGTATTTTAGCGTTTTACACGATATTGCAAAAGAATTCATTTTAGAAAATAAACGTGTTTCGAATCTTTTAGGCAAATTTAGTTTCAGCATTTCGACACAGTACAATTTTTTTAACCAGGCCAGTCTTACAACACTGCCTGGTCAGTGGCGTATATAGATCTCAAAAAGCGCCAGAATTTTGTACGAGATCAAATAAATGAACAGGATATTCTGTGAAGTTCATTTATTTGATCTGATACAAAATTCTGGCGCAGCGGATTTATATTTACGCATCTTTTCTATCTCTAAAAATGACAATTATGGGTGAAGTGGAAACATACTGTACATACCATACCAAATTTTATCCGAACTAACACAACCTTTCCAATCTCACGGAAGTTAATTTCAAAAATTGACAAATTATTCACTAAAAACCGACAATAAAGGTTCAGTAACTCGAGTTCTAAATTGTAATGGCGTTCTGACCACATGGAAGCTTAAAATAATTCATCTCCTGCAATTAGTGCTTTAAGAAAGCTTCTTGAAGTGACACAGGAATTAACAGACAACGAAAGGAGTAATTTTTCATATTTTGCCGGAACACATGTAAGTCGTTAACCCAGGCGCTATTTTTAAAGTTAATGAACGGTTGTATTTTTTCTCTATTTCCCCACAGTATATCTAAATTTAAATAGATACAAATCTGTGAAACGCCGACACAGTGGAAATATTATTAAAAAGTTCTAATAGCCTCCTTAAGACTGCCAAAGTGACGTCTAAATTCTGCAAATAAACTTAAATTGAACGCACAAAATGTTTCACTTTGCAGTAACAAAAGATGTTCGCAAGAGTAATCTTTCGCGAATTAAGTCCCATTTCATTTCAATTTACATTAAAATAATTATTTGAACTACCTGCAAAGAAAATTAGTGGTGGGTATTTAAAAATGGCGTATGAAGTTTGTTCAATACAGGCGCTTCTATTGTTTTACTCATCCTATTGAGGGGTTGCTAGATAACCCTCATGTTCCCCAGTTTTACAATGCATAACGTGTACGGAGGAAAAGTCAGTTCAAATATTTACAAAAATGTGTTCTGGTTCTCACCGGGCACACTGAGAGATATGAATGTTTTATGAAGATATATTTATTTGAAATTTACAGAAAGTGCAGGATTACGCGCAAAAAAGTTTCTCAAATCAGAATGATTATTTATACAGGGTGTCCCAGAATAACGTGTACAACGGAACAGATTCGTGGACTCAGAATAGGCAAATCTAGGCTAATTCACCTATATCCGAAATCGCTTAGTTTGGCCGCTAGATGGCCTCAAAGTTGGTGAAAATTGTTTGACTTTTGTAAATAATTCGAATACCTATTAATAGATTTTGATTATTTTTGGGGTGTGAACATTTGCTTTCAATCTACACATTTTGGTGTTATACAGAGTTTTTAAGCCTACAACTCCTACAAAATTGATGTATGGTGATAATATGTGTTCATAACTGTTTCCTCTTTCGGGCAATAATGATAACTATTTTTTATCTGATAGGTGATACAATTTGGAAGTTTTTGGGCCTCTTGTAGAATTTTGATTAAACGAGCGGTTTGGGCATAAAAAATATTTTTTAATGTTTACATTAACACACTGATATTATAACACTGAAGAAGAGTTGTGGAGGCATATCCTAATTGCCATAAATGTTTTAAAAAATTGCCCTAAAGAACTGCAAAGGGTGACTTTTAACTTCACTGAATTAACCTTTGTTGTAGAAAAACTTTGTTGGTGGTCATTTTGAACAGTTTTTATAGTTGTACTAAATTTAATAACATCTACTTTGTTACTTTCATTTCCAGCATTTTTTAATTGTATTTGATTATTTTTACTAATTATCTCAATAAAATTAGGCATGTTGTAATTCCACACCCCAAAAATAATTAAAATCGCCATCTAGCGGCCAAACGAAGCGATTTCAGATATAGGTGAATTAGCCTAAATCTGCCTATTTTGAGTCCACGAATCTGTGGTCTTCCGTTGTACACGTTATTCTGGGACACCCTGTATATACGTAATAAAATATATTCTTGATACTCATATACCATAATATTAAACTAACAATAAGTATAATAAAAGAAAACGTTTTTCGTGTATGTGATATCAATAGAGATTGCTCTTTGGATCATTTTATATTAAAACCGAGGATATAAAATTACTGGTCTTCAAGACTTCAAATCAAGGTCTTGAAATATTAAAAATGTATCACATTATTTAAATGCCTCTGAACATGTTTGATGTTTCTAAGAATTGTCCTCTACGTTATTCGAAAATAGAGCAACTACTTAAATCTAAAACAACTAAAATTATTAAACTGTAATTCCTGTACATTTTTTGCTAACCAAATAGTTTTAGAGACATTTTGTTCTTATTCACCTGTGTGATTAGCTTATTTATATTAAATATAACTCGAAAATTATTCATTTTGAATGTTTTTTTTTAACTTTAACACCCTGGAAAACCATGCCCAAGGACAATCTTGTGACGTCGTGAAATGGAGAAAACACACTGTATATAGAACTTTAAACTTTAAACAAATTATGAATGTAATAAGAAAGAGTGATACATAAAATTGTATCTATTACCGGTAACTTTCCTTAGAAAAGTGTTCACGTTAATTTGCGCAATTAAAATGTTCATAATTTAATAATAAATAGGTATCTATTAGCAATATCGTGAAGCTACTTTAAACTGTACTACTTCAAATATTTATCAAACATTTTGTCGCCCGACAAAGCATTTTATGTGTAGATATTAAAATGGTTTCACTATTAATACATAGTTATTAACCTCATTAAGCTCGAACCAATTAGTGATGACAATTGTTGTCAATACTAACAATTTTTAGGCCACTACTGTAGGCAAGTCAGAGTTTATTTGTGTTTAGATAATCAATAATTTTAATTTTGTCATGTCTAGTAGGCTGAATATTTGTAAACAAATGGCATCCGCAATTTATAAGATCCAAGGCAAATGTGATAAATACATACACACTACACACGCACATGTATGCCAATTATTATTTTGAATTACAACTGTGTTACTGAGACATTTTTCGTTTAATAGCTTGAAAAATGTCAATATTTATTTAGAGGACATCAAAGTTAAAAATGCTTATGTACCTCCCATGCTTCTGCATTCAACAGGTGTTCACAGTATTTATTTGGAACGCATAGAATTTAAATGAAATTGTATTAGAGATGTAGGTATGAATTTTGAGTTACTCGATACTGTCTTTGTTCGGTTGTAGTTGCTTATTGTTTAATTCAGAATAACACAAGGAAACTAAATTTAAATAGCACCAGGTAGGTACATATTAATATTATGTCATCGGTCATCGCTAAAAATAGTATTCTAAACAGGTAAGTAAACGAAACAAAATACATTTAGAACAGCAAACATTTAAGGAACTAAAGTAAGAGATGCCTATGTTTCTAAACTAATATAGTTCAATCAAAACGCCTACCAAATTCCTGAGAAGCACTCAAAAATCGAAAAAAAACGGGCAAACCACAGTGGTTCTCCTCCAAGCTTCCCACTTTTTAACTCGTTGCATGTCAATACACGATTTTCGACTATGATCACTACACGTTTAATAGAAGAAAATGGTAAATTGTTACATTTTAGTCGGTTTCGAGTACTACGAAGTGTCAAGTGTTTCGCGACTATCCCAACTTAGTGGTTACGGACAACTTCACTATGGACAACGAACTTTGAGAGGAGCCGATCTGCGCATGTGTGTAATCTCCACAGGTGATTTTTAAGATCTTTTGGCTCCGGCTCGGAATGGTCCAGGTATGGATGCTGAAATGTTGAAAAGCTGAGTGCTTATCTAGCGAACATTTGAATAGGAGAGTGCATTCCTGTGTTGCGTCATGCCATGCAATAATTATAGTAGTTAATTTTAATATTCAAATGTTTAGTGGTATTTTATACTCTACCTCTACTGTATCCATTATATTTTATTTTGTTTATATTCTAAAACGAGTACTGAAAATGAAAACTAATAACACTATCTTAATTTAACTAAGAAAGAAAATATGTAAAAAGCTGTATTTTTTATTTACGTGTACTCACTTGTTTTTTCTTTAATAACGATTAAATATTAGTAGAGTATATTTGGTTTTAAAAATATATTGTATTACCTATTTTATTCAATGTTTGTGCCATCTATCGTTCTAAAAGTATAACTGAAGTTTCAGGAATTGGAACCTGGAAGCATAAAGTGGCACCTAGTGATGATATGTTTAATTCAGTGCTACTGCTTTAAGTTTCTGTGTGAAGTTCGATAGTCTGTTGTGTAGATGTCGCTGGGCACCTATAATGTAACGTTTAAAATAAGCCAATTACGTTAGTATGTTAAATACAATAAATTGTTTTTGTACGTTGAAGTAGTTTTTAATTTTATATATAAACGATATTGAGCAAGCGATGGTAATTACAATAATTATAAATACAACAATTTTATTAATTGTGTCAAACGTTGGTATTAATTCTCAATACAGCATTGCAAAAATAGTGCCATATATTTATTTATATACGCTAATACGCTATTAAATAAATTGTTGTTAAAGCACATGTAATTTGCATAAAGTTAACGAATAGACAATTTAAATATTGTTTATCTCTTATAATATCACTTTAAAACGTAATTTTTTTAAACTTTTTTTCGTCGATTACAATATATAATTTATAGTTAACAGCCAAAATATCTCGGAAATTACGTAAGCCAATTTGGAATTATCCAATTCTTCTGTATCGAATAAACATAAATAATTTTGAAGGTCAAGGCCTGACTGTCACCAAATCTTAATTTCACTTTCGTAAAAACTAATGAAGACGGTGCTAAAATAAGACGCCATTCCACTTAAGCATCCTAAATGGAACCGTACACGTCTACAAACTAATTTCCTTTAATTACCCTAAACGATAAAATAAAAAAAATTTATAATTATTTGTGCTATATATATCATTACAGTACTTTTTGCAATAGATCTTCTGAATTACATTAAATATGAAATTACTTTTCTCAGTGTATCTTTGAAACAGTCAAATCATATTTGAGATCTCTGCTATGTTTAATAGTAGGTAATAAAAGTGGTTCAGTTTATGTGTACAGAGTGTTTTCCGACGAACTGTACAATAATTTGCACTAAAAGTTATTTTGACTGTAGTTTTTAACCATTTGTAAAAATTAACTTTTCACTGAAACCTATGAAGTTGGTATTTCGAGACGTTCTTGTGTAACACTGAAAAAGTTCACCCTGTACATTTTTTTAATCTATAGTGTATTGAAAGTATATCAACCATTGATAAAAAACATGCAATTTTTTGTCACACTTGTCTTTTGAAATAACAATCAAATTCTGGTAAATATATTATATTTTAATCACCTTCCGAATATTCTATTTATTTGCCTGTTTGTAAAATATGTTGAATTTTTAAAATGGTGTATGTGATAAATGGAAAAATATATAGGATGGATGTCCACAAAAAAATGCGAATGTACATTATTACTAAGTTTTAACAATTTTTTTTAGTGTACCTTTTTCAAATTCTTTCACCAATCGTCGGCCCTTTTAGCTAAGAGCGGCAAGGGAATATATTGAAAAAGAAATTGGCATAAATGAGAGCCATACCATAATTACATAAAAAGAATTCGCAATTACACGCAAGAAAAGCATCGTTGCAAAAACTACGCAACGCATCCATTTTTGTTCTGGTGAGCAATAAAACCTTCACGATGGAATGCCCGCGGTTTGCTATTCATTCTATATATCCTATATAAGCGAAAATATGCCATAGTTGCTGAAACTGACAACCGATTTCGTGCCGTCTTTTTTTTTCAGCGATTACAGGGCGACCCACTAAATAATATTGTTTTGTTAGTAAATCAATATTTCAAAATATGTCGTGTGACTTGTGAGTGGTCGCTGTAGAAGATCATGGAAAGGTATGTTGTATTTGCAAATAAATTAAGATATTTGAAAATACAAAAAATAAAACGTTCAGTTTCGTTTAAGTGAGATGTAGTCTTACCAAAAGTGTGTAAAGGGGGTTTCACATGAGTGAAAAAGAGTACTTTGTAAAGTGGGTTTCACATGAATGAAAAAGGGTACTTAACACACGAGTTGCATACAGTCAAGATTTGATATTTTATATAAGCGAAAATATGCTTTAATTGCTGAAACTGACAACCGCTTTTTTGCCGTTTTCATTTTTGCGTTTATCATCATGGAAAGTAATAGTGTACTTATGAAAAAATATAAAATATTTGAAAATATATAATGGAGTTGTTATAAGCGATATGTATTTTTACCAACGTATGCAACAAGTGTGTAAAGTATGTTTCACATGAGTGGAAAAAGGTACTTAACACACGAATTGTATACGGTATAATTTCTTTCCTATCCAAATATTTACAAGTACAGTAAAATAAAAGATTTTTTCTTTTAAGCTTGATGTAGGTTTACGAAAATAACTAACCTTTTATGCAACAAGTGTGTAAAGTACACTTTTTTCACGAATGGGTTTCACATGAGTAAAAGAAGGTACTTAACACACGAGTTACCGCACAGATTTTTCTTTCTACAATCAGTAACGTACCATTAGGTACGAGGAGGGATTAACACTAGCGATCGTATTATACTCTTCATAATAAGTGTAACGGTTTTCGACTTTTTTATGAGAAATTAAAAATTAGTATAAAAAAAAACTACTTTTTAAAATAAGTATGAGAAACAATATATTTTTGCAAAGCGCACAACACTTTCTTTTTACCTAGGCCATGGCCAACTTTTTTCCATAAAAAAATGTAACTTTGATCCCAAATTGGAAACAACATATTTGAATTTTTCGCAGAGAAATTTATCAAAATTTAAAAACTTTCATGTAAGTGGTTCTTGTAAAAAATCATGGAAAGGTATAGTGTACTATGCTGAAATAATATATAATAGAGTTGTTATAAGCGATATGTATTTTTACCAACGTATGCAACAAGTGTGTAAAGTGTGTTTCATATGAGTGGAAAAAGGTACTTAACACGCGAGTTGTATACGGTATAATTTCTTTCCTATCCAAATATTTACAAGTAAATTTGTAAAATAAAAGGTTTATTTACTTTTAAGCTTGATATAGGTTTACCATAATAACTACCCTTTTATGCAACAAGTGTGTAAAGTACAAAAAAATTTGTATGACACGCCTTGTATAAATTTTCATTCCGAATTTATCAATTAGTAGCTTTGCCTTGGACTGTGTCACATGTCTCGATGGTTTAGGTAGTAAGAAATCTGACCCCGAAAATGGGTTCTGGGTACCAAAATTAGACAAAGAGCCAAGGAATTTAAATTTGACGAAAGCCGATTAGATCTGAAGTGTCGAATAATCTCAGTGTCGGTGCAACCTTAAGTTGACCTGAGTTATCATCGACAGTTTATCTGTTTTTCTCTGTATATTCTTGCGACACTTCGTTGCCACAACCTTAAAGAACGACACGTGATGCTATCTATCGCAGCCGCAACCTTGCAAAAATGGTTTTAATAATAGGCAATGTCGAAATTATATGGACAAGGAAAAAACAACGATGAAAATGTCGTCAGTCTCGAAAATCACAATGTTTCACTATGTTCAAAGGATTTTACGGTGGTAGAGCCTATTGTTTTAATTTAATTAAATTTGTTTATAACATAAGCGAAGTTTTCAGTTTTTATTATTAATTGTTTTTTATATTTTTTCAAAAATAGAGCTTCATTTCCGAATTTTAAGAAATAATGCGTTACTTTTAATCCTTAAGGAAGGAAATACTCTTTTATCTCTTTATTTATTTATTCGATTCCAAACAGTTACAGTGGTACATAATTGTAAAAATAGAATGAATGAATTTATGAAAAACAAACGATTGCGCTTTTAACCTTTACCATAGTCATTCGACAGCTATTAACAGCGAGATTAGTGAATGAAAATATTATTTTTTCGATGGAATTAAGTTTTCTTTTAAGCTTAAATCATATAATTTTTTGTTTGTTGAAAGCTTGTTGAGGACCGCTGACTTCAATCTGGCATTTACGCGTAATTTATCTATTCTACATGGGAAATCAACTTTGCAGTGTTGCCGTTTAAGACTGGAAAATTATGACGACTATAGCTTGACGGTTTTGTTGTACCAACCGTTTAAAAAATATTTGCGAATAAAATGTGCACCTGTAGGTCAAATGTCACGCGGCATGCGAGGCACTTGCCTTTGAAAAAGGGTTCTTTCCTGTTTTAACAAAAACAGAGCCTGTTTCGGTGACCCTTAGGGTGGCTGGAGCGTGAGCATAAAAAAATGGAATCTCCAAGGTCGGCATCTACAAAAACTTGCAATAAACAGGAACTTAAATGCATAAAAATGTTAATCAGATTTTAAACCCTTATAATAAGGCAACTAAAAAGCTGTTTCGTTTCAATAGCAGGTTGATGGACGTCGCCTTATGAATATAAATTTCAAAATTTAAACGAGTGTGGATTGTATGTACATAATTGGTTCCTTGACTTTTTCATCCTCAAATTAATTTTCTTGTAACACGAACGAGCCAACAACGCAAAACGTGTAAAACGAACACTGGCGACACCGAGAATAATTTAATTTCAATAATTAAAAAAAACATTGTACAACTTACTG